ATGGATGCTACACCTTTATTGAGAGGTTTGATAGAGAAGTACAAAGAGAATAAGGAGGATCCACATATGATTTTATTGATTTAGAAAAAGCTTACGAAAAGGTTCCAAGAGAAAACCTTTGGAGAGTTCTAGAGAAGAAAGACGTTGATATGACTTATATTCAAGTCGTTAAAAGATATATATACTAGAGCTGTTACTTGTATTCGAACAAAAGGATTGACAAAGTATTTTCTTATTTCCATTGGATTACATTTGAGACCGGCTTTAAGTGCATATCTTTTTGCTTTAGTTATGTATGCTGCTACTGGACATTTATAGGAGAATATACCTAGGTGTATGCTTTTCGCTTGTGTTATCCTTCTTGTGCATAAGACTAGAGAAAGAGTTGAGGAAAAACTTGAATTATGGAGGTCTACATTGAAGTCTAAAGACCTTCACTTGAGTAGATCTAAAACTGAATATATGGAATGTAATTTTAGTAGTAGTAGCTCTAGTTGCAGAGTTGTAAATATGGATGATCAAATCATTAGAATGTGTGAACATTTTAAATGCCTTGGGTCTATTGCTCGAAGTGATGGGTGATATTATTAGCATAATTCAAGGTGATTGGCTGAAGGGGAGGAATGCATTGGATCTATTGTGTGATAGAAAAGCCCAGCTTAGCCTTAAAGGAAAATTTTATGAGATGTTGGTAAGACTTATAATGCTTAATGACACAGAATGTTGGCCTTTAGAAGAGAAGCATAAAAGAAAGTTGTGTTGTTGAGATGAGAATGCTTAGGTGAATGTGTGGCTTGACACTTCGAGACAATGCGAAACAAATCTATCCGTGAAATGGTTGATGCAACACCAGTAGCAGGTAAGATTAGAGAGAGTTTTCTTAGATGGTTTGGTCACATTAAACGTCAACCATCGATGATCCAGTTAGGAGATTAGATGTTGTAGATTTGATTTGTGTAAAAAAAGGCAGCGGTAGACTTGAAAAGACCTGGGCATATAGTATCAAAAATGTTCTTATTCTTAGAATTAAATGAAAATATGACACGCGATATGACACAATGGAGAAAAAAGGGTTCATGTAGCCACTTTGGGATAAATGTTTGTTGTTATTGTTGTTGTGTTATTGATTCAACTTACCTGAGATTGATTGGATGAAGTTGCCTTATTTTTTTCATTTGGGTTCATGAACTGTGGTTGGACATGTTGGATTAATGGATGTGGATTTTGTAAATCAAAAACAAATAAGCAAGCCTGGATAAATAATCAAGAGAGGTATGTGAGTGAGCATGGGTTCACGAGTGTATATATAGGAAGTAGTGGTTTCAAGAAAGGTGGGCAAGAATGTGAGTGATGTGGAGAGATTAGGTGATCCAGAGGCGAAGATATTTAGTCAGCATGATGTGGGAAGGGGGATGCAGAAGTAGATGGGAGTTGAGAATGTGTAAGTTGGAGGTGATGGCAAAGATGTTTACTGATGGAAATCAATCCCATGAAAGAGGTGAGAAATGGGACATTCATTCTTGAGTAGGAGGAAGCAAAGAGGAAGCATGCCCACCATACTAACATTTTTGGTAGAAGTCTCATTATTAGATCCTCAAGAACATTAATAAAACACAGCAAAGAAATTTAGAAGCTAAATGCGCTAATGAACCCGCTATTTATCCAACTTGATTGAGGTAATGGCTGAGTAAAGTTTACTTTTTTTTTTTCATTTGGATTTGCATGTTGTGGTTTTCAAGGGTGCGGGATGGATTATGCCATTGAAGTAATTTATGTATGTGAAAAATACGAATGAAGCTAGAAAGAAAACCAAAAAGGTGTTGCAAGCAAGTTTAGGCTCACTAGTGTGTACAGGATCAAGAGATTGGGAAAGGGAAATGTGATGTGTTGACTGTGGGAGTCTAAGAAACCTGATCAATTAGTTAGAGGCAGGACTATGGCTGAATGTGTGGAAGAGGTTGATAGGGAGTGATGAGGATGCACAGGGTGGTGGTGGTGGCGGCAAAGATGGATTCCAAAGGGTTTGCCTAAATAGAATTCAAAGAGGATGCCTTGATCATGACTTGAAGGTAAAGATAGTGTCATCATTGTTGGTGATGCACTAAACAAGATTTTTGAAAGGATATTAGCGGCAACTAACAATGAACATTGATAAAGCAAAAAAGGTATGAGTTAAGGAGTAAGACCATATAGAGGAAACTTAAAAGGGAAAACAAATCACCAAAGGGGGAGACGAAAGAAACCTTTCTTTACTCCATTCTCTCGAAATGGAATGAATTATAAGATTTTGGGCTTTATTTATAGAAATATGCTGTATTGAGAAAGGTTCAACTTCCTGAAAACAAAGAAAAATTTTGAACTAGCTCTAAATAATAAGTCAAATTTAAAGCACAAATAATTAGCTGTAAAAGACAAATGACGATTTTAAATTAATGATTGATTTGTTGCTAACCTCTATCTGTTACGATGCAAGTCTGCAATAATAGGTTCGAATGAATTAGGGTAGGTTTAGAAAATTTTTATGGAGGTTCTTTAATGATCTATCAATCAATTAAATGTAGATTGAGCTTTTTTTTTTTTTTTTTGCATTGTAGATGGATGTTTCTTTCTGAGTTGGATTCTTTGCTGGGGACAGCAAGCAGTTTCTGTTTTTTCTCCATTGCTGTAAACAACAACTTAGGATTTTTCTCTCCTCTGTAGGATATGGTTAGCACTGGAAAGCAACACCTTCCTCTGATTATAATTTTTGAGCCTATCAACTTTGGTGAATTGCTGTCTCCCTATGTTTTACTATAACCTGCAAACCATAACCTTTTTCATGTGTTGGACATCAACTGGTTACTGCTGCTAATTCTGGACAGTAACTTCTCTGTTTGCTGAAAAACTTGACAATGCTTCTTTGGGTGCTAGATTGATGAAGTCAACAAACTCCCTCCTACAGGATAGCAAGTTACTTGGTTTTTTGTTTTTTGTTTACTGAAAACAGCGAGAGAAATATTACTTACTTTATTTTGCAAGGTCTGGCAAGTAGCAGCTGGTTGGCAATAGGTACTTTGAAGTATTTCGATGATTGGAGAAGGCCAACAGCTTGCTCCCGGAGGCAGAACAGGCAGCAAGCTATGCGGACAGCAGGGAATTTTCCTGCTGTAGGAAGAATGGGTGTTGGCTAGGGCAAGAGGGAGAGAATTGGAATTATTTTATATTATAGGAAATAAAAACCTATTTCTAAGCAAAGTCATCATAAATAAATATTTGAACTATATTACTACCGAATCAATTCCATCAAATAAGGAACAACCTTATCCCTTTTTTTAAGCAAAACTTCATAAATTAATTTAAAGTTGGTCTTATCCTTCCCTAAATCAATTCCATCAAATAAGGAGCAGCCTTAACCCTAATTCCACAATTTTGAAGCACATTTCCCTTCTTAAATTAATTTCACAGGAGGAAATGCACTTTTAAAACTGGACTAGAAAATTATCTCAAAATTTGAAGTTTCTTTATTTTATAATCCTTATCACTATTTAATAGTATATATTTATTGCCTCTCAATCTTTATAATCTAATGTTTGATCAATGATTTATTTTCATCTATGGACTCCTATTGATTTGGTTTTCATTTAGAATGGCATGATTTGGATCAAACACCATTGTCAATCTCCACAAAGAGAGCAAAACTTTATACTGGAATGATCATGATCCCATTTGATATATCCATTATTTAATGTCCAAATCGTGCGAGAAATTTTTATAAAGACTTGACTTTGAAATGGATGATCCGATTGAAGGCCCCCTTAGTGATCTGGGCAACCCCCACATCCCCACCCCCTGCCCCCGTTTAACAAATAAGATCATGAGGGATGATGTTGAAGGGAGTGGCCCAGGCGAAGGTGTAAAAGCCTGCCACAATTGTGGCTTTGAAGATGAGGAGAGTGATGGCATCATTGGAGACATAGCATGCAAACTTCTCAATGGACAGTAGGCGGCAGTTAATAAGGAATTGCAATCTAGATGTCCTTAAAGAACAAATAAGACCATGAGAGGTGGCAATGAAAGACGAAGTTGGCAGAAGTGGAAGTGGGAATTTGGGAATGCTATGTGATTATGAGAGTGTAAGTGGTCTGTAAACAAGTTTAGTCTCTTATACCATTTAACAGAGAAGAAGAAGCATTCGATATAGATGGAGAATGGGGAGATAAAGAGAATACATGTGTAAGGTGATAGGATGGATGAACTATCTCAAAGGGGGTCCTGAGCTAGTGTAGTAGAAAAAATGTAGGAACCCTAGAAGGGGGAAAAATTTCACCAAGTGGAAGCTAAAATAAACTTTCTTTATTATGGTACATGATTCAATGCCCTGTTTATAGAAATAGGTTTTATTGAAAGCGGCAAAAGTAGCAGCACCAGCAACAGCAACAAGAGCAACAACAGCTACAACAACAAGTCTTTATCCCACTAGGTTGGCAAAACTAGCATTAAGCAAATTAATAAAAAATTTTAAACTAGTACTGAATAACAATTACCTTTCAAATCAATAATAATTAACTTAGAAAGACAAATTAGAGCTGCAAACTAAGGACCGAGATAAACTTAGACCACCTTAAGATTGGTAGTGCCATCTTCAAATTTGTCTCTAGTTTTCCATTTTTTCTGATTAAGGAAAACAGCTTGAGGAATGACTCTTCCAAGTTTAATTTTTATGAAATGAGTTGCTAGCTAGAATTAGATTACAATCCGTAGGTATGCTACATCATAAATTTGGAATTGGCAAGTCTAAGCTTCTACACAAACTATTACTTAGAGCAAGGAGCTTCTGTTTGTTAAATTTAACTTTTATGATCGGATATTTCATTGTTTACCTGATGCTTTTATTTTTCCCTGTAAAATTTCATCCTTTCCTTAATGCTCTTAACTTTGAATGCCACTTTAGTTACCTTGCTGAAATCGTCAGAGCTGTTAGTTGTTTTTAATGTGACAGCATTCTCTTTTACTGTTTTCAGCATGTTTTGGAGAGGGGAAAACCACTAGAGAGGAGCCAAATCATCAACAAAGTCTCTGGTCAAGTTGTACAAATGAGCCAGCATAAGTTCGCTTCCAATGTTGTTGAGAAGTGTTTAGAGTATGGTAGCTCCACTGAAAGAGAACGCTTGATTATGGAAATAATTGGCCAAACTGAAGGGAATGACAATTTACTGGTATGTTGATGAACTAAGGTTTTGATTCCTTGTTTTCCTGATTGTCTGGAAATTTCATGTTGTTCGATTATGGAACTGTTACTTAAAAGAGATCTCAATGCGGGCCAATTAAGCTGTTGCACAATTTCTAGAAATAACACGCTCTTTTAAAACTCCTCTTCATAGATAATCAAAATTTCTGCTCTATACTGCTTTTCAGAGGCTACTTAATACTATTGCACTGTTTTTCTCCATCTTTTTAACACTTTTGCATTTACTTGGAGGATGTTTTTTTTTGGGACAAATAAAGCTAAACTCATTATCGCTTATTTGTTAACACTATTACTATCCAATAAATGGTTCTGAAACGGGAAACTTATTCCTAAATTTTTTAAGCACACTTTTAAATTTGTTTTAGCTTGTTTTTCTTGTTTTCTTTTGAAGGCTGTATAAATGGTTTTGTAATTTATAGTGATGCTTATTGATTTCTATATTTCATATGAAGTTTACTTAGTTTTATTTCTTTTGTCTGATGCTTTTAACTTTTTTCTTCATTTTTCCATCAGCCCTGGCTATTATCAGGGGCCTGAAAATTTTCAATAACTGACCATATATCTGTAGCCAGAGTTTACTGCATTTTTCTTAGCCAGATGCTGTTTTTTATTGCATGCAAAACAAAGAAATTGTAAATTCGCCTATTTTAGGTGGGTGTGTCTATACTTTAAATTGCAGTTCAATTGTCTAAAAATACATCAACCTAAATATATTCTTCTACGCTCTGCTGTTTCCTCTCCAATCCCGTCTCCATATCCTCTTCAATGCCTCCCTCCCTGTCATCATAATGGTGGCTAGACTTTTGAAATCTCTCGTTTTCAAGGTTAGACCGGCATAACTCTGTTGTACCCTTAAAGGTCTTCTCAATCGCCTTGTGCATTGGGAACATTGACCCGGACAGTGCATGGCTTTGCCACAATGGCTCTCTTCTTCCCATGCCTGTACCATTTCTGTGGCCTCCTTTGTCAATATGATAATTGGTGGTGCATGAGCGTACCCATTGATCAGGAGTCATTGCTTCCTAATACAAAACTGAATTTCTATGATCGTTCCCATTTGTACTTTGTGAAGCCAAGCTTCCAAATCTTTTGTTGGCATGATTCAACTCCTAATTCTGTATGCAGGACAATTTTTTTATAAAACCCTAGTTTTCGTGAAGAAAATTTAATTATGAGCAAGCAACAGTGCAGCTGAATTTACTCGGTCCACACTCATGCGTGCAGGCCACATAGAAATTAGTTTTATATGGGAGGGGACTTAGCTTGGCTCTAGATCAAATAAGCATTCAGTTATGGATATCATCAGGGAATGTATTATGACTTTTTTATTTAATTGTCAGCCTTTGATATTAATAGTTCGAGTTTAAATGAGGATTTATTTCATATTTTATGATCATATGTCATTTTGGAGCCAAAGAGGTAAAGGAATGTTCTGGTCGACGTTAAATAAAGATCAACTTTAGCTCTAATGCCAGGAGTGGTTTCTCTT